ATAAAATGTATAATTTAGAAAAGAATAATATTTTACTTAACGGTTTAATGAAAAATGTATAAAACGTTGCATAATTATATAAGAAAGTAATATTTAATGATAACGTATGTATTCTTCATTACTTAGACTTTTATACAGGGATTATTTTCGGGGAAAAATTTTTACGAGTCACTTAGATTTTATAAATACGTGTGCCGGGCTGTGAACGGCTCAAGTATTTATAAAATCTAAGTGACTCGTACAGCATGGAATTCATATAAAACGGAATAATCAACAGTATTATAGGAGGGTCGACTGTACTCCCCTAAATAGCGATACTTCTTGTATGGATTTTTACCATAAATATTAAATACGGAAGTATGTATGTATGAAATACTAAATGTACTATTTTGAATTGCAAAAAGTATTTTTATCCCACATTATTATTATCAAAATCGCGTGAATTTCAAATTCTCTTGTGTATAGACTTTATTATTATATATAATTCTTATTCCAAGCATACCTTTTTCCGTAGATAATCACCATAGTAATGTGTGCAGCATTTNAAATGGGACGAGCTAATATAAAAGATAAAATTAAGTTATAAAATTCTGAAAAATATAAAACAAATTTATTTTATGGAATTGAGAAAGGAAAATTTTGTTGTAACAATTTTATGTTAATAGTAGAATATAAAAACTATTTAGAGTAGGAAGGGTGAGTGTCCAAAGAAAATTTTCCAGGAGGATCAAAGCTTGTAGAAAAATAATTACATCAATAAATTTTTATTTAATTATTTAATTTTTTGTATTTCTTTCACAAATATATTATAGAATACAATATTACATCAATACAAAAAAACAGACAAAGCGTCCTATAGTCGAGGGTGTAAGGTTACGTATCTAAATTACTTTTTACCATTATAATTTGTGGAATGTTTTACTCGATTTCATGAAGGGCAAGTGACCCGTTTTCCTCCCTCTACGACGCCCATGGTCTGGAGTTTAATATGGAAATTTAGCAAAACTTAAAAAAAAAAGTTACATATATAATAAATAGTTACAATTTTTATCATCTTCTACTAAATAAATTCGAAAAATTACTATACTATATAAATATATTTTTATATACAGTATAAGTGAATTTGAAAATTAATATAGCATGAAGTGAGTTTCCTATTAAACAGCATTAATTTTATTTATTTATTTATTTATTTATTTATTATTCTTCGTAATTACTTACTCCCTTTATGTTTATGCAATAAGAGGAATATTGAGGGGATGAAATAATGAAATCTCGATTTACGAGACTAGAAGGAGCATATTCGATTACGTCATATTAGTAAACTGCCAACCATATTGTAATAATGAATATTACGACTCATTATCGAAGTTAATGAGTGAAAAAATTTCACTTTATCCAATTGACTTGCGTTTATAATTTTACTAAAATGAACTAGCAGGAAGGAAGATAGGCGGAGTTTATCCCGATTGACAGTGTGTTTTCAGCTGTTTAGGTGAAAGTACGATAAGTTTCCTGTTCGTCACCGATGCGATACGACACTGATAATATGTTCAATAGCATCATCAGGTACTATGATTGCTGCTATTATTTAAATAATAAATCAAAGGGAAACGTTATTGAGGTTAGAGATTTATTTTTTAATGGAGCATTTAATTGGTTGAAATATAAATCTCGTCGTACGTTGATGATTTTAATTTGTAAGTTAAAAATATTTAATCTGTTAACTGTAATATTTTTTTTAAGACGTGAATATTATACATTTCTATTGATAAATTCAAAATATATTGCTAAAATATTCTCGTGCATTTGAAAATAAACTATATATTCAAACTAAATTGTTCAGTTATTTGTGAATAATAAAAAATGCATTTTATGCATTATATAAAGTTTAGATAAGAGAGATTTCGTGTATATATTTAAATAAATAAATATTATATGAAATAAAATTCAAGTAATAATTACTTTGAAAGTATGGATAGTCTATTTTTTTAAGGTGAAATTTCTGGAATTTTGTTTTTCATTAAATATTTAGTTACAATTTCATCATAAAATGTACATATTTTATAAATTTATTTATATCTGTAATTAGTAAATAACTAAATTCACTTATTTAGAATTGATGTATTTATATACAATATAATGAATATTGGTGTAAATATTTATAACAAATATTTGTTTATAAAATTTTTTAAAGTCAGTTGGCGTTGTATATAAAATAAAGTTAATAGGTAAATAATGAAAAAAATTGATATATGATTTTAAACAGAGCGCTTATAAAATTGAAGCCGATGAAAAATTAAAATTAACTTTCCTGAAGCATAAGAAAAAGAGCATATTTATGGAAAAATTGTTTAGTAATTTAAGAAAATTTTAAATTTTTTCCTCCGTTGATCAACGTAAATAATCCACAAAGAAAGGTGATAAATTTGTAGAAAAATAAAATCTAAAAAATATTTTTCTAATAAAAACGTATAAAGGTTAGACAAACAAGAATATTCTATAATTTATTTATAAATTATCAGTTTACATGCTTTACTTAACATAAATTTATTTCAGTTGCAGCGCATTTTAAATCAAAATTTACGGCAGAAATGGTTATGAAAGGACATAATACAAGACTCAAATGTGAATCGTACGGAGATAAGCCAATTACCGTCACGTGGATGAAAGATAAATTACCTATTAACCCTCAAGCTGATACCAGGTAAGAATTTATTATATATACATATCTACTGTTTCTAGAAATAAGAATATACGTTAGAAAATCAAAATCGAATTTAGTTTCATATAGCTTGCCTATCGTTAACGTTGTTTCCATTAATCATCTTCTAGTCAATTGAAAGATAATTAGAGCCTTTAGTGAATTCGTTAGATAAATATAATCATTTAATATTATTAAAAACATACTATTTTATTAACTTCTACTGTTTAATGATATTTTTAATGATTATATTTACAATTTAATTGTCATTAATTGAGTTAAATAGGAAGCAATTTCAATTGTTTGCGAACTACAAATCGATCTGTGCAGAAATTTTTCAATACAACGGTAAATATGTACCATTTAATAATAAAATTTCTTCAAATTCTCTTCTAGATTAAGGATGTAAGAAATGTAAGAGAGTTATCAGTATTCATAAAGCTGAAAATGGAAAAAAATGTAAATAAAAGAAACGAAATATCAAATATGCAGTTCTGACTACAGGAAGGGCATATGTGAAAATTCAACAAATTGAATGTACACAACACCTGTGGCTAAAAAAGAACCAAGAGATTTAAAAAGAAAAAGAGAGAATTTGGAGAAGTTGTGAGCGCAGGGAAAAATCTCATTGCCAATAACAGAAAATCAAAAAAGGAATGTTTACATCTTCAGGCTAAGAAAATGAAATTGACCTCTACTCTGAAAGATTTCCGTCAGAGAAAATAAGTGATATTATAAAAGTTCCTCCTTTTTTATTTAAGAGTTTTCTGAAGAACCGACTGCCGTAATGTCTTATGCGGTTTCTTTATTCTTCTTCTTTACTTTATTTTTTTTTAACTCGGAACTTTTATGATATAACCCAGTAAACGGAAATGGTACAATTGTTTACAGGAAACTAGCTTAATGTTTGCTCCGAGTTTCTTATTTCACATAATAAAGTTTCAAATGAAGAAAAATCATTACACCAGAGAACAACCGACTCATCACTCACTGATGGAAAATGGCAAAAGGGAGTCAATCTAATAACCCAGCACACACACTACAGATGCTATTAGAAAGTATTGCTATTTCATTACATTTTTCTCAATATAATCTATCATTGACTTAGAAAATAAAATATTGTAAATTTATAATTTTTTTTCTAAATTGCAAAATAATATATTACTTTCTTCCGAAATTAAAAATGAAGTCTTACACTTTAATTACAATTTATAATATCCTGAAGATTAAATTACTTTTTGTAAAATTCTCATTTAAAAGAATTATTGATATTATTTTTAAAGTTTCAAAGGAACATTGTTCTGAAGTTTCTTACTAATAAAACATTACAGGCAATAATGAATTAATATATTCATTGTTATCAAATAACTTTTTTTATTATAAGTGTCATATTTATCTTTAGGCAATGTCATTATTATGTAAGGTCCTAAGAAATCCATTTTGCCGATGTTGTCTTTATGAACAGCGTAATAANTGTTACTTTTAATATATTTTAAACTTCGTTTTTAGATACGAATTATTAGAAACTATCGTGGCAACTGGCGTTACATCAGAAGTATTGATTCGTCAAGCTGACAGAAGAGATTCCGCTCTCTTTACATGCATTGCTACAAACTCATTTGGTCGAGATGATACCAACATTCAACTGATAATACAAGGTACAATATGGATTTAGTTTGATATTTACTATAATTATGTAGCCATTTTCAATGATTAAATTGTACGAATAGATTTCATTATTGTATAAACTTATAATCTGTACGTACTGGTACATGTTAATTTTTATTGTTAAAAATTTAAATAAGATAATTAATAACAAACAATGTATTATTATTATTACGTTATGATTACTTATTAAATAGTTTCCTTGTTTATACATTATAATAAAGCGAAGACTTTAAATAATATAATATATTAAACAATCAAACTTAATTTATAACAGATAAATTACATTTAAAATGTATTTATATTTAAATTCTATTCGAAATAATTGTTATGAGTTTTAGAAAATATAAAGAAAATTTCGATTAATTATTAAGTTGATAAAATTAATTTATTTTTCCTTAAATATTATAGCATTTGAGATAAATATTTTACATCTTTTATCAAATATTTGAACTACTTCGAATAGTCGGTTAATATTATAAATTACATAAATTTTAAAGTTATATGCAACTCTAAAAATAATTATCTTCTAGAATCTGTAATGTAGCTAAGTATCGTCATAAGGAGGCATGGGGAAAGGGTTTGCATATAAAATTACCTTTGTAGATAAATTAAATAAGAGTTATGCACACGTAAAGAACGTTTGGTTTATATCTCGTTATTTAACTATCAAAATATCATCCGAATAATTAATTATTGAGTATTTATTTTAAATTATTTGTTAAGTTAAAGGATATGCCTCTCTCCTGAATACGTCTATGCCTGCAATTACAATAATAATCTGTTTAAATATTAATTATATTATAACTAATTAAAAATTTCATTAAAGAGATAAAACACACGAGTGATATATAATATTTATTTCTTGAAAAACAAATGAATTTTTAATAATTTCTTTTTAGATAAATTTATAATTTATGTTTCATTGTCCACGTATTTCAACTGAAATTTTACTTCGTATATATCCTTTATATATATTAAATGTATAAATATTATATATGTGTGTGTGTGTGTGTTTTCCAGCCTGATATTTAAGTCACTTGAAAATTCTACACTTACGTGATTTTCTTATTGCGCTTGTACTTATTTTTGCTTTTAAAATGTAATATAATATTAAAAGAATGTATACATTACTTAAATATATACATAGTATGATGTATATATTTATTTTTTATTTTTTTATTTCTTAATTTAAGGAAAGAAAATCTTTATGTTAAAAATTATTTAAAGTACTTTCCTTAATTTATTTTTCTTTAATCAAAATTGAATTTCGTTTCCTACGAGAAATAATTTCTTTCGTTAAGATAAATAAAATGTATAATTTAGAAAAGAATAATATTTTACTTAACGGTTTAATGAAAAATGTATAAAACGTTGCATAATTATATAAGAAAGTAATATTTAATGATAACGTATGTATTCTTCATTACTTAGACTTTTATACAGGGATTATTTTCGGGGAAAAATTTTTACGAGTCACTTAGATTTTATAAATACGTGTGCCGGGCTGTGAACGGCTCAAGTATTTATAAAATCTAAGTGACTCGTACAGCATGGAATTCATATAAAACGGAATAATCAACAGTATTATAGGAGGGTCGACTGTACTCCCCTAAATAGCGATACTTCTTGTATGGATTTTTACCATAAATATTAAATACGGAAGTATGTATGTATGAAATACTAAATGTACTATTTTGAATTGCAAAAAGTATTTTTATCCCACATTATTATTATCAAAATCGCGTGAATTTCAAATTCTCTTGTGTATAGACTTTATTATTATATATAATTCTTATTCCAAGCATACCTTTTTCCGTAGATAATCACCATAGTAATGTGTGCAACATTTTCATCATCATGGAATTTTTTAGTCATATTTATACATATTTTCAATGTTATTATCAAAATATAATTCTTATTGTTTGAGATATCTCAATTTAGCGATATATTCGATTTAATGCCAATAAAAAATGGCGCTAACCGAAGTTTGACTGTAATTAGAAGAAAATACGGTTTTTTATTATTATTTTTTACTCATTATTCAATCCTTTGACGTATTCAAAATGTAATTTAACCAATAGAAATGATAAAATAAACAGGAAATTACTTTAAAAATGCCATTCCATACGGAATAAACGACAAAGAATATCTCGAATTTAAACACACAAAGCCTAATTTCCTCAATAAACGAGGGGAAAATGTGTCCTAAATTGGAAGTAATACAGTATTTTAAACATCTACATAGTTAAAATCTATTTTAAAATCTTAATGTATAGAAAAGAATAAAGAAAAATGATCAGAAAGGAGTATACAATCTCATACTTTCCGCATGTTTTTATGATTTATATTTATCGACTGTCAATTTTTGGTGTATTTTTCATCATAATGTCTTTATAGAGAATAAGTCTCAATACAATGAGTTGAATGGATAAAAAAAACTTTAGTAATACCTTTCTATGATCGCTTTAAGGATAGAAATATATTCTTATATTTTTCGTTTTGCAATATTCGACTGATCGGAAAAGAAGGATGCGTATATATAGTGGAAAATAGAGATGAAAATCGGATTGTAGTAAGAGGAAAGAATAGATAAGAAGATAAAAATATATATATAATAAAAGTAAATTTATAAGATGTTCTATGCTATAGAAAATTATATTCTTATTCTTATTATTTTTATCTGATTCTATTCAACAGAAAGCTTTATGCTTGTTTTCAAGTAACGCTTGTTTACTTTAAGAAGAAAGTTTTAAAAATGTATTAGAAAAACTTGTGCCTTGAATTAATTCTTAATTTACATAGTTTCGTTTACTTGATCTCTCGTTAATTTTAATAAATAATAAGATTTTATGCAAATATTTTATTAAGAACGTAATAAATATCTTTTCAACTGTAAAATAATAAATTGAGAGGTCAAATCCAAAAATTTCTGCTAATTAATCTATTTATTTATTAACGTTAATAAATATTTTAAGTTTAATAAATTTATAAATACCTTATCTATTCTATATAATTGTTTTAGATGTAATAAATCCTGGCGTTTTTAAATGCAAAATCAATAAATTACTTTGTATAAAGTTATCTTAATTTATTTTTGAATTCATTTTTATTTAATAAATTTTCTTCTTGTTGCCTTAATGTTCAATATATATTTAAAATTTATGCTTTGAACATTAGAATCTCCAGATAGTCCTCAAGACTTCAAAGTATTGGAAACATCAAGCCGAAGCGTTAAATTAACTTGGACAGCTCCATTCAGTGGAAATAGCCCTATAACTCACTACATTATCCAATATAAGGACGATACAGGTATGTAAGAGCAAATTAAAACACCGTAAGACATCAACAGGAAATAAATTGTTAATCTTTCCAACAAACAAAGTTAATTTACTCATTTTTATGTATAAGATGGAATAGGAAAACATATTTGCAAAGTAAATCATTTTAATTTATAATTAACAAATATATTTAAATATATTTTAGCGAATAAATTATATTCTTTTTGATTTTTGAATTAAGCAAATTGTTTTGAATTAATTATATATATTTTTTAATCAATATATCGATCCGTATCTTTAGACAGTTTGTATAAGAATTTAAATAAGGTTTCTAATAAGTAAATTTGATATTTTAGGCATGAACGTAATTATCATTAATATATAACGCATATTTTAAAGATATATTCATTGGGTATTCTTGCAACTTGAATAAATCTATCTCTCGATCGTGCGATCCTGCATACGTAAATATAAATCATTTTATCGAATAACAAGTTCCCAATTTGTGCCGTGTACGCTATTAAAGATATAATTTTGACAGTTATAGTGTAACTATAACGAATTACACTTTAATGACATCTATTACAAGTCCAGTTAACCTGCGTTTCGACCACGTAACTTTGTATTAGTAAAGGTAAGTCACGATATCCACTCGCTTTACAGAAAAATAACCCAAAATTAGTCCATGTTTACGTCGATTTCCCTTCCATATTCTTTTTAACACTATCAAAATTATATCTTTAATAATGTTTTAAAGATATTTATTCAGATATTCTATTGCAAATCTGTGAGTCTATTTCTCGATTACGTGATTACATCAATTAATATTATAGAAAATTTCTAACCTCACTTTTTCTCAATTAACTAATTAATTAATGCTTCTACTCCTTTGTTATATTATCAATGTTAATCTATTAATACGGCTTATTATACTGATTTAATAATTTGTGGATGAAATTAGAGATTGACTTAGTCTCTTGGTTCAACAGAATAAACTTTTATTTGCACTTATATACAATATTTACATTTATTTTGAACCTTTTCGCCTCTTATTAGTAAGTGTTTATCAGTTATATTTCTGAAATACAAAGATTTTTAATGATATAACTGATAAAAACACCTTCTGATGAGGGACGAAAAGGTCCGAAATACATGAAAATATTGTATACAGATGCAAATAAAAGTTACCAGCCGCATGTTAAATCAGTATAGTAAGTCCTATTAATTTTTTTTTTTTTCAATCAAATATATTTATTCATAATAAGGAGTCCTTGTTACTCATAATAAGTAAGTCCTATTAATAGATTATAGCGACAATAGACTATGTTTTTTCTTCATTTGTCTACATACCCTCTATTAAAAAATATAATTTGACAGCATTATAATAATACTTAACTTGAGGGATACGAACTCAATCCAAATGCATTTATCATACTGGAAACTTCTAAATATACAAGATAAAAGAAGTTATTCCTGTAATCTTACTTTATCTTAGGATTGTCTAAAGTTTCATTAAAGCATACACTGTACTGTACTGTACATCTGTTGTTTGAGAAAAGCATAAGTGCTTTTAATCTTTACATCGTCTATACTTAAGTACAGAGCTTAGATTAAGTAGAGAAAAGGAATAAAAATAAAGAAAAAAAATGGCCAAAAATATTTATTGTTAATTACTTTTCGGTAAAAACGTCAGAATTTTCTTCAGACGTCATTTATTTTACTCTTCTATCAATATATTTTTCGGAATTTTAACTTTTCGGCAGATAAATTTTTGTTAATTAATAATGAAAAATTAAACTTTTCTCAATTTAGATATAAATTTTCCTAGGAAGCATCTGCATAATTGATGGCTTTCACGCGCATATTTTCACGTGCTAGAAAATAAACACAAAGTTATCAATTATTGTAGCAGTTTAATCATTTATAACGTTGCCGAGACACAAAGTATGTATGTACTGATTATAGAATACAATTTAGAGAGGAGGAATGCAATTTAATAGTGATTACTACATTGGAATTTACCACATCAGGTGAATTCAATGGAAAACAATGGAAAGTTTACACTTAATTTGCTTCACTTATTTTTTTTCACTTCACTAATAAAGAATTATTAATAACAACAAAAACATAATATTAACTAAATTTATTCTTTAATCATTCTAAAATTTATTAAATAAAATAAGAAATAATAATAATTTAATTCGGACGTTACTCCTTGAATGATTTTTTTTCCTCCATTTTATCAATTCTTATCGATTTAATACTTAAAATTATATTTTTTATCGATGATATTTTATAAAAATGGAAAATATTCTATTTATTATCGATTTTCTATAATCATATTCCTCAAGTTCAGCCATAGGCAGAGTCAATGGGAAGATGAGGAAGTGTGTAGCCTGGATCGGAATCTGTATAATAATTATGTAATTTATGTAATTTCAAATGCATGAAGAAAGAAAAAAAAGAAATTTAATATAGAGAGAGCGTAACGTTAGAAGGTAAAAGAGTGACTCGAAAGGCCCTAGCTTCCAACGGCCATTACAGCCCTACTTATAGACGTTGAAAGCTAGGGACATCCAAACTATACGCTTCTAGAATGGAAAAAAAAAATAGAAGTAGTGAATAGAAAAAAGAATTTATATTTTCCTATGTAGCAGCCAACTGTCATCTATTGATTTTTAGTTTCGTCCTTCTTTATAGAGAGCGTAAAGTTCTTCTACTAGATTATTAATATAGTAGTACAATATCAGTAAAAGTGCATTAACATACAAACAGACTTACTGTGTTCTTTTATAATGTAGTAAAATTTATGTTAAAATATGCAAATTCTTATTAAAATATTCCAACTCTTTCAGAATGTCGAAAATCTTTTTTTTTTAAAGGTTTTATTTTCATTCTTTAAAATTTTAATTAACTTAACAATCGCATCATTTAGGAAAATGGCATGGAAAAATGCCAAATGTGACCGTTTCCGGGACCGAAAGTACTGCAACTGTTCAAGGTTTAAAACCGGCAAAGATCTATTATTTTCGAATGTTTGCCGAAAATAGACTTGGAAAAAGCGATACAAGTCGGATTATAGAAACTCGGACTCAAGAGGAGAGTGAGTAAACAATGGATTTATGCGAATATTTTTACATACATTTTCAAAATTCTATTCCTCTAAAATACGTTATGAAAAAATAATGCTTTAGTCATTAATATTTATTCTAAATCTAGAAGGAAAAAAAAAGTTTCTAAATCATAAATTTTTGAAGTTAAAAGCATAAAATTTTAGATCTTTTTTTCTTTTGTTTTTGTATATTCTTTAAGCACCGGGTGGTCCACCAGTCAAGGTCAAAGCCATTCCTACAAGTTCACAATCTATAAAAGTTACTTGGAAAGTATGTTTTCGCGCAATTTAGTATACACGCGTGTAAAAGTTTACAAGCATTATGGATGCAATTACAAGAGACATAGAACTAATTGAAGTTTATTTACAGCCTCCTTCACAGGAATTACAATACGGGACAATTAAAGGATATTACGTTGGTTATAAGATTCGAGGTTCTCCAGAGCCTTTTGTTTACAAAACTATGGATGTTGTTGAAGGTTTCAAAGAAGAGAGTCACTTAACTGGATTAAGACGTTTTACTAAATATTCTATAATAGTACAAGCTTACAACAATAAAGGAACTGGCCCACCGTCTGACGAAGAATACGTTCAAACTTTAGAAAATGGTAATTTTCTGCTGATTTTTATTAAGAAGTAATATTTTTAGTTCAAGAGTTTGCGTGTGGTGAATTTTTATAATGCTCTTAATATATTTATCAATAAATCAATATCAAAGTTTACATTTAAGGAATTTTTTTTTCCTATTGAGTTCTTAAATATATTAGTCATGTACTGATGAATATTTAAGATATTTTTATATGCTAATTTTAATTTTATTATTTAATAAACAAACGCTTGTTTATTCATTATATTTACAAAGCTCTTTAATTAAAAATTCTTAAAAAATTTTTATTATACTACATTTACAGTTACATTAGCATATTAAAATACACGATATGAGCTTGTTTTAAAGAGAAATTTGGGAATTTCTCGTCTTAAATGCTGGTTAACTTAATTGTTTCTTATATTATTCACTTAGAATATGTTTTAATTATTGATTTTTTAAATGTATTTTATTAAAATAAATTTTTTTATTTGTATCCCTCCTATTTCAATGAATTAAACTGATAAATTATGCATTTAATAATATTTTAATGCTGCTTAATCTGTAAAGATTATATTAAATTGCTGGTAAAAAAATTAATTTAAAATTTATACTTTTAAGGAAAAAAAAACAATACAGATAAATCAGAATAATCCAAAATAAAAAATAAAATTAAATGATAACACTGAAAACACATAAATGATTAAATTATCAAAACTAATACATTGTAAAAATCTAAGAATAAAATTAAATTATTATAATTTGATTTAGTCAAAAGAAATTTTAAAGTCAAATTTTAAGGGGGAAAAAAGTAGAATTATTTTGAATCTATAATCTATAACTAGAATAATTTAGATTCTTATTTTACAAAAGATAAAATTGAAAATTTTTGGAACATCTGCTGCAATTTTTTTTTCTTTCTTATATTCATTCTTTTGAAGATGAGGGATAATAAGAAAGAAATTTCTTTTGACATTGGGAATTTTTTAGTTTTTAGTAGATTTTGAAATCAATTGCTTATGTTAGATAGAAGAAGAATATATACTTTCTCCTTCCTTATTTTTCTCTCATATTGTTTGGATCAAGTTCAAATTTGATAAAACTGTAAAAAATTATTATTAGTAACTGATATATTGTTATTTAGAAAATTTGAATTTTAAAGTAAAAATTATAAATTTAAATATGAAAAAATAAACNTAATTGTTATTTTTAATATATTTTAAACTTCGTTTTTAGATACGAATTATTAGAAACTATCGTGGCAACTGGCGTTACATCAGAAGTATTGATTCGTCAAGCTGACAGAAGAGATTCCGCTCTCTTTACATGCATTGCTACAAACTCATTTGGTCGAGATGATACCAACATTCAACTGATAATACAAGGTACAATATGGATTTAGTTTGATATTTACTATAATTATGTAGCCATTTTCAATGATTAAATTGTACGAATAGATTTCATTATTGTATAAACTTATCAATTTACTTTTTTAAAGCACATGAACATAATTGAACCAATAATTTTAATTAAATTACATTCCTTTTGAGTGATGTTGGAAAGAGAGATTTACAGGGTATCGACCGTGCTGCCATCTAACGTCGGAAAATAGAGTTAACGTAATTCTCTAGTCAAACTTTTATAGTTTAGTTCTTGAGACATAAGAAATCGCAATTTTAAAAAATAATAATACTTTAAAAGTTTAAAAACTGTTAATATTTAATAACTTTCTACCTGTTCCATAATAGATTTATCACATTGTCATGTATCAGTAATGTGTTTTTTTTTTTCTCATAAGTTCATAGTGATATATCTTAGTATTTGACTCGAATGAATTATAAATAACATAAAAATATATAATACAACGCTTTATAACGATAGTTTATTATAGTTTAAAGGTATAAAAAGTACAGGTTTTTGTGGTAGAGTTTCATTTGTAAAGATTACTGATGAACAATGATTTATCACATTTGATAAATGAACAATATTTATTAGGCGAATAAATAACGCTTACACTACAAATTATGAAAGATGGAAAGCGAGATAAGTGACATTCTAAACAATACAAAACAGACTTAGACATTGTTTATTTCTTCTGAATAAATTATATACTTTAATATATTTAAAAGCATTTAAGTAAATTAAGATTTATGCTTGAAGATATGTTGTGTTTTTCTGCTAATTTAATTAACTTTAAAATAAGTGTATACATATATATATGCTTTTTTTATATAAAGAAATAACTGAATAATCGGAAATCATTTACATTAATAAATTAAATTATATACTGTTATATATAATAATAATCTTGTACAATTATGCTGATGAGAATAAGGAGTAATGTACTATTGATGAGATTAATATATAATATTAATGCTCTCTGAAGGTTGGCAATTCCATAATATTTCATTATAAAGTTGTGTCAGTATTTCGAAACATTTATTATTAAATTACAGTTGTAATATTCATTTTAGTAAGGAATTCTTGCAATAAAAACCAATTTATAATGGGTTTACTCAATATAAAGATTTAAATGCATGAAGGAAATCTATTGAATATCGAAGCTTTGCCAATAAAAAGTTACATTTTTGAAATATTATAATAAAAAAAACTCTTTTATATATCAAAATTCCTTTTAAAATAGACCCTCCAACGACACCTTCATTAAAAGAAACCGATGCGTCATATTCCTCTATACAGTTATCATGGGACAAAAACATCGATGGAAATCCAGTTACAGGTAAATTAAATCTTTAAATAATTAATTAAAAATATAAATAAGTTTAACAAGAAGAAGAGAAAGTGATGATAATAATCGATAATTTAAGCCTGACGTTTTAAGATAAGAAGGAATTTAAAATAAACTACTGTAATATTTACTATGATAGATAGATAAAAACGTATCCAGGAAAAAAAAAACTTTTAATGATTTGTAACATCTGGAAAGCGATAAAAGAAGTAAAAAAGTTCAGAACGAAATTTAATGGCCAAAGCAACATTTGTGTCATCTCTTGTTTTATCCTCATTTTAATTGATAACAGTTAATGGTCCTAGCTGGGAATTAATTTTCAGCTCGAATGCAGTTCGTGACTATTTTTAGTATAAATCCTCCCTTTTTTTCTTAATTAATAAAAACACAGAAAAAAGAGAGAGTAGAAGAACATTCTTGAGATTACTCTCTGCGCTTTTCTAAATTAATATATATCCAATTAATCAAAATATATACGAAATGAATTTTTATACTTTAATTTTAATGATGTTTAACTTTTTAAAATATTTTCCGCTTTTATACATTAAACAAGAATGTTTCTATATTTTAATTAATTTTCTTAATTGAATAATGTTCATATATTTTAAAAATTTATGAAGTTCTGTATGAAAAAGCAAGTAAAAATAATTTAATAAAATAAATTTTTAGTTTATAAATTCTACAACAGATGTCTCTAGTTGCAATATATATATCCCCCTTTTCTTCCTGGTATCTTTTAAAATAATTTAATAAAAATTTAATTAAGCTTTTTAATTTACTTTTATATACAAAAATAATTAACAATTTAAAATTAATATTAAGTTATATATTTTAACGTTTAGGTTATTATCTTAGGCAGAGGCAAGAGAATAAAAATTGGGAAGAACTTCATGTTTCTGGTGAACATAATTCTTATACAGCGTTAAATTTAGAGTGTGGAAG